ATAGATGCATCTTCCCCTCACTCAACCTGGACATTTGCTATCGCTTTTTTTGGGACAACCGAATAGATGGAGAGCAGCGTCCGTATCTCTTCGATTCTCCAACAATATATAAACGGATTCAGCACACCGTTTAACAACGCAATTTGACCGTGAACACATTGTCAAACACAAGCGTCCGCCTACGAATGACAGCATGTCCAGTCATTGYTCTCACCAATGGAAAATAACAAAGTAGAAAAGCCCCGATCAAACCCSGTGTCAAACTTGTGCGTGTCTTTTCCCTTTTCCATAGTATTTGACATTTACAAGTTTAGTGTGTATCACTATGATGCCTTTTTTCTTTTTATGTATTTATTTAGGCCCCGTCCATACGTATCCGTAAATTTTTGTACCCGTAAATTTTTTTTTGCAGATACAAAAATGTTCGCGTCCACACGCAGCGTATTCGAATCGTTTTCGAATCGTTTTCACTGTCCACACGTATCCGGAAATTTCATGATCCGCCCTGATGCACGCTAGTGCCTAGTCCCTTTGAAGAATAGCTTTTCTTATTGAGCATGCGCAAAATCGTGTTTACGTCATCGTATTCGAAAATTTGCGGATACGACCGTCCACACGCATCCGTATTCGGAGCGTATTCGAAAATTTCCACTCTGGAGACCGTTTTTGGAGTTTCTTATTGGCCACTTTAGAAACTAGCAAAAGACTGGAGCGAGTTTTTAATCTAATTAGCAAAAATGTTTCGTCATCTGATAAAGCATCTCAATATTAGTAAGTCTATGAAATCCGAACATGATTGGATAAAAAGAACCAGAGTTACAAGCCTTCCAGAGTCTGAAAAATATACAAACAATGTATGGTTACAGGCGTTTTTTGTAACCATACATTCTTTGTAAATTGTCAACACTTTYGAAAGGCAATAATTCTAGTTCTTTTCATCCAATCATATTCATGTTCATTTTCTAATGAGATTAAAATTCAAAACTCGCCCCAGTCTCTTGCTCGTTTCTAAAGCGGCCAATAGTTTGTCCAGCTTTCCTCCCTCCACAAAAATCAACTTCTATATTTCAATTGGAATCCAGTGGAAGAAGAGCCACTCTGTGGAATCCACTGTTAATCCCATTACTATTATTCAATTATTATTATTATTATTATTATTATTATTATTATTACAATTCAAAAACCAAACGCTCTGCGTATTTTTTTTATTTAGTGGAATACCATCTACAAATCTTTAGTAAACATCTTTTGTATTTGAAATACAATTTATCGCGGCAACCATTATATTAATAAATATTTGGTCTTTTAAATAAGTTGTATTCTTCTATAGACTGATAAGATTCTTCTGAAATAAATATATTCTATRTGTCAATTTCGATATTCTATATTCTCAATTCTTATCTTTTGCCAATAGGTTTCCTCTGTGTTTCCATATTGGAAACAAAGATAGTTTTAAATTTACTCAAATTGCTTTATCTATACAGCATTTCTTTAGGCAATTGTTAGCAGAACGCTAGGTTTAGTGCCGAAATCATATCCCAGAAAGTACCGAATTGGTGCTTTTGATTTTCGTCTTACCTAGAAATCTAGAAATTGTACAAATTGTAGCGCGCAGTTGTCAGTTCAAATTCCTAAAAATATCTTTTTTTATTTCAATGGCTCTTTCTTGGTGTTGCAGGGCACTTGAAGCACGAAGACAATAAAACAATACCAGGGAACAATGAGTTTGGAGCTAACTAATAYCCTGCAACACAATAACTCTAACTCAGAATACTATACATCTTGCAACTCCAAGAAAGATCCATTTGAATTAAGTGGTATGCAATGACAAGATGACCTTCTGTTTTGAGATAAATTCAGATAGAATACACACCACGAGTGGTCCCTTTCACAGTTCCCTGCGCCATCTTGAAAGGCAGCCGTGCCTTTGCATCGAAGCGAGACGAACGGTGAGCTTGTATGATAGAGACCTTTTTTTAACATCTTGAACAACAATTATTCACATGTCTCTATCATTGCAAGCTCACTGTTGGCTACATTTCAAGATGACGCAGGGAACTGCGAAAGGAGTATTTATTCTAACATATATTTGGGCATTTTTTCCAATCCCTTTCTTAACTTTTGATACTGAATAAAGGCTTGCATCATCACGTGATAGCAGCCATGACAGGAGGCACAACAATGGGGTCTTCCCCAGGAAAAATGAAATCTTTCTCATGTAAATTAGATTAGAGCAGATGCAATTGTTCCTGTCATGGCTGCCATCACGTGATGGTTCAAAGCCTCTATACCAGATTCCTAATTCTTTTTCTCTTATTCAAATGTTTTAAATCCTTCGGAAGTCAAAAGAAAGCCGTGTCAGAAACTACGAAGACGATCCTTGGTATTGATGGTGTAGACATGACGTAAAAGGGGGACATTCAGTCAAAAAAATAATGTGTGGTATATATTTCAAATATCATAGAAATCCTCCAATATTGGTGCATGTCCACGTGGAATGTTGCCTTTTTTGACGATCACAGACATCACTTGTTTACAAAGGTTCATTCTAATGCCAAGTTCAGTCATCAGAATTTGTCGAAAATTATGATAGAAATATGAAACAAGTTCACACTTTGTCTTGTGCTTCTTGAATGAAGACCATGGAAGCCAAGAAAATCTAGCTTTCACGAATAAAATGTCTATTGAATTTGAATAAGTCATTTGAATGAGTTATTTACAGCGACAACCAATCAGCTTCATGCGACCCCTGTATCTTGCATGAATGGGTTCACATAGGCCACTATTTCCATATTTTAGGCAGTCTGCTGATGTTATTTTACACTCTACTTGCACAATACCATCCGATCCGATGGTTTGATTCTTAACACAAGCTCTAGACTGGCACGGAGAGGCTTGACTGTAATGTAAATAGAACCACAAGACAAATAGTAGCACTGCACCAGATAATTTCTAGAAAAGAAACAAAGGGAGAAAACAACTTTGAATTGTTAGTTTGCAGGTATTCGCGAGAGAGTCAAATGTAGACATGCCGGCCATGTTGGGGATATGTTTGGTCGGGGTGCATGTGATGCAGGGTACGCACTATTCCTGGAATTCTTGGGAAAATTTGTTTTAGGACTCCGGAAATCTCCTTGAAAATTTCATTTTCGACACAAAATTCTAGAACAATATTCGAATTTTTTTTTTTTTAGTTTATTAAAAAAAGAAAAAAAAAAGAATTAAAAGTAAAAGTGTTTTCTATACAAACACTTTAAATTAAGTCGCTTGGCCTATAGGGAGAATTTCGAAGTTCAGGGTCCTGGGATTTGTTTATATTTATACCCTGAAAAACTCTTGGAGTTTTATAATATCCTGCTCGAAAGCTTGGCTTGATTTATAATTAAAAAGCTGATGAATCAAAACTATGATGAATTCCATAATTGTTTTCTCTAGTTTTACCTTATATATTACTCATTAATTATACGACTGTTTTCCAAGGGTTAAATAAAATAACTTTACAACAACAACAACAAAACAAAACAAAACAAAACAAAAAATAAAAAAAATGGAATTTGTGTCTATTACTAATAATAGAACTTACGTATGTATAATTACTTTACGTATAATTACTTTACGTATAATTACTTTACGTATAATTACTTTACGTATAATTACTTTACTTTTAAGGTGTGTCGTCATTTGATCAAGAATCAAATTCCTTCCGGGTGTTGAAACGAAAAACTCGTCTGTTTTCGAAGTTTTTGTTCAATTCTTGCCTTTTCCCTTTCTATTTCCTAATTACTCTCTTTTTTCTCCTTTTCTTCTTCTGTGTTTACGATGAATATCGACATTAGAACAGTACCACAGTATATTTATGTGTATTTTTTCGAGGTTTTTATGATTTCCTATACAGTCCGGAAATGCGTCAATAAACTTAATTGAATATTTTCCTTTTCTCCTTACTTTTCGGAAATGAATGACTAATGCTAACTACTCGACGTGACGAGTGGCTAAATCATAGAATATCCCAAGCGTTACTTGTATTTTCTATATTTTTTCTATATTTTTCTTTCACAGGTTAAAATAAAATCTCTCTAGTGAGCATACACCTATTTCAATAAACGTGGTCATCGTCAAAGGCGATAGGTCATTCCGACAGGGAAATGGTTTCGTTGATCACTACAAAGAACATTGAATCAGTCTCAACACTAAGGTCCATGTTCTTGACGAGAGTAAGAAGCAGAAACACAATTCATTACAGCTATTCTTGGATCTTGAATGTCCTATATCCTATCGCTTTTCGTCTTTCGCTTACTGCCTATCGCCTTTGGCGATGACAGCGTTTATCGAAATAGGTGTATATGAAAATACGAGTTTTATGCAATTGGGATATTCCATGATTTGCCACGAGAACGAGCATCAGTCGTAGGACAAATCCCAGTTTTTGCTAAGTAGGCCATTCTCTTGCTACTTTCTTACAAAGGCCAACAAAACAAACGGAACACATGAATATTCTACACAAAATCGAGTTTACCCTGAACAGCAGAATTCGAAACTGGAGTATACACTATGAGACCGTTTTTCGCACTAGATATAAGTTATGGCGTATATTGTTATTCCTTGATATTTGAATAAATGCCTTGAATAGTGATAGATAATTCAAAACCTTGCCAAATTATTATGTACTATGTATAAAAAACTTACCAAATTCTTTCCCATTATTGTTTTCTTTGAACTTGTAAAAAATTTTAAAAGTATTTGAAAGTAGCTAGTTTTTGTAATTTCCCTGAAGTTTACTCTCCAAATTTAGTTGGTTCAACAAGTTGGTCTTTTTTTTGTTATGAATTAATACATAGTCGAAAAACCTTTATTTATAAGCGTGTATCGTGAAATATATTTTTGTATTTTACAGAAAAATTCCCTTAGCTTATGCAATGTCGTATGACAGAGAACCGGAATTTCAAAAAGTCCGTACTTGCTGAAGGAACTGTTATCARCAATTGTGTAGTATATTCTTTGTAATGTAATATTTTAGGAATTATCTCACGATCGACACGTGAAAGCTAGAGTATTATTATAATCAACATGTTATCTGTTTTATCAATTATTCTAGATTCATTTCAAAAACATTCGAGAATCATAGAATATAATAGTCTAGTCTATAATAATAGAGTGCACGCACTTAACCCGTGAAATAAATACTAACTTTTAGTACTAAATGGTGATAAATAAACAATAGAAAACAAAGGATTCTGTATGAAATAGTACTAATTAGTACTAATTAATGTCCACTAATTAATGTACTAATTAATTGATTAAGTGCGTGCACTCTATAATAATACAAGTCTATAAGTACCAGTTCGAGGAATATAAAATCTAATCTTAATGATATTTGTTTTATATATTTATATATACATTTTTTAGAAAAGATTGATAGTAACTGAAATATTGAGATGAATATTACTAAGATACTAGGACTGGCTCATGGTGAAAAAAAAATCTTCAATTTTTTGTCATTCCCTAACTGCTATGGGAGTAGTTGAATCCATTTTTCATGGATTTCTGTCCACACTTCAGTTAATATTATAATATGAATTGTTATTACCAACAGTATATAAGTAATAAATGATCTGTAAATTTTTTAGGAACAGAGTTATGAATTATCTAATAATATACCAATATGTGACTTGTCGAAATATTACAAAGATTGGAATTTTACTTCAAAACCTAATTATATTTCAAAATACAATTATTATTTCAAAGGAGACTAAAATATAATACGAAAAAGTATTACTAGACTAATACGATAAAACTAATCTGATGAAATTTAGTCATAAATTTGTAATATTATATATTTAAAATATATCTCACGATTTACACGTGAAAGTTAAAGCATTGTTATTGTATTGTTACTCATATTTTCCTTTTCCTCCTTCTATCCTTTCCTATTTGTTCTCTTAGATTTATCTTAAAATGACTGCAAAAGGTCAAGAGGATGTGTATACTCAAAAGTCACATACTTAGCTAATTGATTAGAAATTTGCTGACAGCTTTGTGAGGTTATTTATTCCTGAAAACAAATGAGTAATAAGTGGCTTACTGAATTGCTACCGATTGTCCGTACGCATCGATCAATTAGATCATTTTATGGATCTCGTAACGTCACGCAACGAATGGAAAATGACGTATTTTAGGATCTCTTAACGTCACGCAACGAACGGAAAAAGTCTTAACTTAAAGATCTCGAAAACGTCACGCAACGAACGGAAAATCACGTTTTTAGGCATCTCGTAAGGTATAGCAACAATGAACGGAAAATGACGTATTTTTTCAGTTTGGGCGAAGTTTCCTTCACGACCATTTCTTGAGTTCCTTTTTCTATTTGTCTGTTCCTTTTTCTTTTTGTTTCTTAGGCCATTTTAAATTATATAATTATAATATAAATATATATATATACATACATATATAAATAAATAAATATACAGTCAATGTCATTAACGTTGTCCACCGAAAAAAAGACACTTACACATTTACACATTTACGCATTTACGCATTTACGCATTTACACATTTAGACTAAAAGAAATATCACGTGTTTCTTCGAACGTTCTGGCATAAAACAAACGCTGAAATACAATTCTCCATCTTCAATCCTCACTAAATGGTCGGGGCATTCTGGATTTTCGATTCACGAGTTGAATTTTACATTTAAAGTTCAGGCTCACTTTAGTCTAAATGTATAAATGTCTTTTTTCGGTGGACAACGTTAATGACATTGACTGTATATATATATACTGTACATATATATTTTTTCTTAATTATTCTAGTTTTTTTGACTTGACAAGGACTTGAGTCAAGGTCAAAACGTCGTCTACTTTTTTCTACAAACATATCTTAATGTCTATTAATGTTTTAGTCAAATTTTCTCAGAAAAAGATAAAAATGAAATGTACAGTTCCGTAATAACCAAAATAGAGCTATATTTTTCTTTGACATTTCTGAGCATTCCTTAAATGTTATGGTCTATACGTTCAGTATGGTTGTCTTGAACATGAGTTTACTAATACGTTGTTGCTTATTTGATTGTTTTGACTATACAGACCGGAATAAATGGCTTTGAGCTGTTTTTGTGCGATAAAAATAGCGAATGACCACCTTGCTCTAACTTCATAGTAGTGTAGTAGTGTAGTAGTGTAGTAGTGTAGTAGTGTAGTAGTAGTGTAGTAGTAGTGTAGTAGTAGTAGTGTAGTAGTGAAGTAAAAATCGTGAAGCCATGCCCTTTTTCAAAGACTCCCGGTATTTTAGGGGTGTTTTTGAAACATTCCGACGAGCACACCTGTTACTTTTACCCTCCTGAGTAATCTCCCCCTCCCCCGAGGTCTATTGGTTTATTATATTAATTATTTTAATCCTAATAAATAAGCAACATGATAACTACACACAGTTACTATTTGTTATCAAAATCTTAGCACCTTTTTTTTTTTTTTTACAAAAATACAAATATTAGTGCAATTTATTGCACAGAATTTTATTCCAGTTGTTTTTATAAATAGAATTCTATAAATATACAACTTCTTGTTTTCTCCAAGTACACTTTTGTAAGACCAATATAATGTATAACTAAAAGCGTTGAGTCTATTTTTTCAAAGACAAATTTGTATAATTTTACAATTCGGAGGTTGAGGGGAAACTGGATCGAGTTGGTATTGCAATGCATTGTGGGAATGTTTTAGGGAACGAAATAGACGCCATGTTGGAAAAATGTCCCCTTAAAACAGTCCCACAATGCACTGCTATACCAACTCGACCCAGTCTTTCCCGTTAACCTCGGAATTGCTACTAATATAAGCACAAAGACGTTTCGACTAATTTGCATACAGCATGCGGAAATATATAAGCTACAAAATCTATTTCTAAAGTGCTAAAAAAATTGTACTCTTTAAACCTCATGTCACTGGAAACATCACTTGATAGCCGGCCTATAGTTGTGTAAAATTTAACATACAGTAACTTATATCATATTTGATAATTATGTTGCTCTAATTTAGAGAGAATTTTAGATATCATTACTATTATTATCATCATAATATTATATTATTATTATCACAAATGTCTCAAATAATTTTCTGTCTAGGCCACCTACTGAAGAATCAACCGTGAACAATGTCGATGGACTGGTTATGAGTCTAGTCTTTATCCACATCCACATCCTGTTACTACTTTGGTGCCATTACACACGTGATAAATAGGCCGGCACCGCTTTCTTCTTCTCAAACAGTGGTAAGAGCTACCAGTGCACGTGATCTCCACCACTCCGTTTCTGACAACGCGTCTTTCACAGGATGAGGCTGGGCAAATACACGGTGCCGCTTCAATAACAACGACATGCGATAGAAATAGAAGTAGTAGTAGAATTGCTAGATTTGTCATAATATATCTGAAAAGGACGACATATATATATATATTTAGAAAACTCATTAATAATTCATGAAGAAAACACACTAGAAATCATGACCATGAAGGTGATTTTATATCGGATAAAGATTCGTCTTCATTTGCATAAACTTTAACTTGGATTTTCTCKATCMAACTTGGTTCAWTTCGTAAAGAATTCGGTACAGTATGAGAACATACATCAGGAGTTTTTTAAGCCGTTTAATAAACTCGCAGATCGTGTTTTATCGGGTCTAAAACCACTCGGCTACGCCTCGTGTTTTATACCCGATAAAACACTCCTGCTCGTTTATTAAACAGTACAAAAAGGAAGCATGGATTATAAACCGAATCGAAATATTTAGACTAATTTGAATAACTATTGTTCTGGACTGACAAGTGTCTGACTAGCCTATCATACGTGTACACAATCCTCATACATGTAAAAAAGCTTTTAGTTTCCACTTGAACACGAGGCTAGTCAGTCGCTAGTCAGTCCAAAAAATAGTTATTCAAATTGGTCGCCATATTTCGATTCGATGTATTGTTTTCTTATTTAAATGCAAAAGTAAAGAAAAGCCGAAAAACTACTATAAGTGAATCATTGCTTTAGCCTAATTTTGTGTCCTAATTTCAACTGTGATTTATTCTTATTCTGATTCATTCAGTATTGACAAACTAGATTTTTCTTGATATAGTACAAGAAAAAAGAAAAAAAACTACACATTTCCATGAACTGAAACATACTCACCACAAGTTTGAGTTTATAATCGATGAATGGATCAATTTGGCGTGACAAATCAATAGATCTTGGTATATTCGGCTTCTCTTTGGCACCGTTCTTCAAGTGGTTTCCAAGAATAATTCCAGCCAGTCTTATATACACTTTATTACAATTCTGGGAAATTTCGGCGTGTGGGAAATTAGTTATTTTTGATTCTCATTTTTATCTTTGATTTTCCCTCGAGAACTGAACTGCAAAGTCATGATACAAGCCGCAGCTTCCTCATTTGTACTTCAAGCATTTCTAAATCAATCCTTAAATTTCATTTAAAAAACTTATCTCTATACAATAAACTTTACATATGTAAATTTTGTAAGCAAACGAGGAAATTGTGGTTCCTTATTGAATAGTGTTTTTAAGAGACCTTTAAGATTTCTATAGTTACTATTCACTTTGTTTTGTCTAAAACAAAAGTGATACATCATCAGGTTTTCAAAAACCGCAGTTTGAGTCTAGAATATGTAAAAAACTACACTCGCCAACTGATTCGGAGTCGTGGTTAGCTGTAAGCAGTAGTTAAAGTCTTTTTAAAGAGGAATTGACGTGTTTCAACAGGAAAACATTATGTGTAATGATCGTATCAAAGGATGTCATCAATCTCTCTCAGTCTCTTCATTCTCTTACGGTATGTATGTATATGTATATGTATATATATATATATATATAGTAAAGATTGGATTAAAGACGAGACATGTTCACTGTAACTCCGAGTTTCGTGCTTACGCACTCATCAGACAGACTTTAATGAAACATATTCCTATTACTGTGATATTTATATACAAGAGGTGTAATGATTA